GGGTTTAGGGTTTTGGGTTTATTTGGGGTTTAGGGGTTTAGGGGTTTAGGGGTGTAGCGGTTTAGGGTGTATAGGGTTTTAGGGTTTTGCGGTTTAAGGGTTTAGGGGTTTAGGGGTTTAGGGGTTTAGGGGTTTAGGGGTTTAGGGTTCACGGGTTTAGGGTTTTAGGGTTTAGGGTTGTTGGAAACAAACACGCTTGTTCTGGGGTTGTCTATGGTTTTCATGGTGTTTACCAGGTTTTTAAAAGGGCTAAGGAGAGGTCTTAGGGCTGTGGTGGGTTGTTTAAAGGTTTTTACAGTGTGCTGGATTTATAGGTTTGTATACGGGTTGTGTAAGGGTTGTTAGGGGGGGGGGGTATAAGGCTCTGATATTTTGTAGGTTACCACCGTAGGGGCACAAAAGTTCATGAGCTCTTCCGTATAGGATAACGCAAACCCAGACTTGGCGAATTAAATCAGTTCCTCCCCCCCTTACGTTCGTACACAGATACCTATTCCCCTGAACCGTAAACCCTAAACCCCAAGCCCGAATACTATTTTTGGGTTCCTTAGACTACCTAAACCCTAGACCCTAAACCCTAAGCCCCACCACCTGGACAGGCGTCCCCAGATGTGGTGAGCTTCAGCGCCGGCATCAGCGCTTGTGAGCAGCAGGGCCGGTGGAGGGAGGCCCTGAGCTCCTCTGTCTGTCTGATTTATGAAAGAATCTAAGTGAATATAGGAGCCTAAATCATAGTCACCAATGCTATTTTTGGGGGGTTCCTTATTACAGTTATGGTATAATATACCCCAAAACCGTATTCTAGTGTTATTTAGGCCCCTATATTACTACCACAACAAGGGTATAGGGTAAGGAACTTGATGCAAGTTACCGTAATACTGGTTCAGGGTTTAGGGTTTAAGGAATATCACTTGCCAGAGGTTCCTATCATGGTATTTAGGTTTAAGAGCCCAGGTTTACTTGCGGACATGGAGGTGGCGAAGGTTCTGCCGAACTCGATCACCTTCAACGCCGCTGTCGGTGCCAGTGCGCGGATGGGTTTCTGGCAGAGAGCACTTTGGCTCTCTTCGCGAATGGCCGCGGCAAGATTGCAGCCGAACATGACGACCTGGACTTGCTGTGTCTCGGCTTTGAACTCAAGCTCAAGCCTTAAACCCTCAACGCTAAGGCCTAAAATGGCTTTTCAAGATCTGAAGAAATCTCGAAGAGCCAGGTCCCAGCCTCACCCAGCCATGGACATTGGTTCTCCCAACCTTCAGCACTGAACCTGGGCTAAGGCCCGGAGCCTTAAGCCTGAAGCTTTCCAAGATCCTTGTAAACCTTTATAGCGCCCTATGCATGCTCGTAAAGCCTTAAATCTGACGTAAGCAATCTACGAGACCCGCTTGAGGGTTCAGGGGTAGCTGCTTAGTATTTTTGTAGGGACAGTGCATGTAGAGCTTCAATAGTAGGGTCCTGCGTACGAAACCCTAAACCCTAAACCCTAAACCCTAAACCCTAAACCCATAAATCCTAGAGCCCTAGTCGCAGCTGTTGCTTCTGAATCCTTAAGCCTTAAACCCTTAAGGCTATGTAAGCCCTATAGGGTTTAGGGTTTAGGGTTTAGGGTTTAGGGTTTAGGGTTTAGGGTTTAGGGTTTGGGGGTTTAGGGTTTAGGGTTTAGGGGTGCGCCTTTAAAAAAACTCCAGCAGACAGACTTATAAGGCCAAAGGGCAGAACCCTTACCCACATGCGAGAACGACTCCGTGAAAGGACGCCTCTAAGCGGATCTAGAGAAGCCGTACTCGAGCCCTTACGGACACCGAGGCTTCAACGCATCTGAGACCGCCCTGCAGTGGCACGCGGCATCCTACCTTCTTCTCGGGATGCCTCTGAACGAGCTCACGACCAGCCTCCAAACCTTCAAAAAAAGTTTAGGGCTTTCGGGGGTTAAAAAGGTTAAGGGCTTTCTGGGTTTAAAAATGTTGGGGGCTGTCGGGGTTTACGGGTTTGGAGTTTAGGGTTTCGGCTTGGGGTTCGGTCTTCCAAAAAAGCCGTTCAAGGCAAAGGTCTCGGGGGCTACATCGGGCACTTCATAAGGGTTCAGGGTTTAGGGCCGTTTAGGGTTTTCGGGTTTCGGATTTAGGGGTTTAGGGGTTTTCGGGTTTCGGATTTAGGGGCTTAGGGGTTTAGCGTTTAGGGTTTGACAGGATGCTCCAGGTGGCAACTTGCAGCAATGGCTTCTCAATCACAGCCCCAAGCCCGAAACCCTGACCCTAAACCCTCAATTACTAAACCCCAAACCCTAAACCCAAAGCCCTGAACCCTATGCCCTAAACCCCAAACCCTAAACCCTAAGCCTGCAGTAGGCTCCCAACGGTACTGTATCAGCACCCCAAGAGTCGAACCCAACCCTCAAAAAAACCCTAAGCCTCAAACCCTAAACCCTGAGCCCTTAAACCGTTAAGCCCTAAGCCTTGAACCCTGAGCCGCGAACCCCAAACCTGCGAGGCCGCAAGCCCCCTCAACTGGCGGTGTTGTTAAAACTGGTTTAGGGCTTAGGGTTTAGGGTCTCATAAAGGCCCTCTGGATGTGGAGCCCCAACAAAAAAGCACCTTAACGTGAGATCTTTTGGCCAATCACCTGACAGGGGTAGGCTTCAGTCGTCTATGTTTCTATGCCATGCCCGCTAGAACCGAAAGCCCTAAACCCTTCACCCTAAAGCCGTAAACCCTAAAGCCTAAGCCCCCAACCCCAAACCCCATGTGGTTTCGGGCAGCCGCGCGAGTGCGATGGAAGTTTCTCTGGGCGATTCGAAGCCAAGGCCTATTCTGTGATGTTGTTTTATTTAGGGCTTTATGCGTGCCTTTGTGATCGGGCTCCCCATCGGTTTTTGTAGGGTTTTCGAGGCTTCACGGATTGTAGGACTCAGGTTTGGGCTCACTGTCAGCCTTGGGTTGAAGGGTTTAGGGTTCGGGAGTTTAAGGCTTTAGGGCTGTGGTCTTTCGGCTTTTAGGGTTTAGGGCTTTAGGGCTTTAGGGTTTAGGGTTTAGGGTTGAGGGGTTTAGGGTTTAATTTAATTCCATCCCCAGAGTCAACCAGGTGGAGCCTTTCGCCAGACAAACAAATCCTGCACTGCCCTACATAGCCGAAACAGTGCGACTTTGGGTACCCTAAACCCGAAACCCCTGAACCCTAATATGATTTCGATATGTTCTGAACCAAGGAACTCAGTGGGTTCGGTCTCGGCAGAGCCCGTAGCCCTCAGCTCTAAGCATGTTCGACTGCAGCCCATTTATTGCATGCTCTCGGTCTTATGATCGGCCCAAGAGGATCTCAAAAGAATAAAGAAGCCTAAATAACTACCTATATCAATATTTCTGTTAGTGTTCCCTTATTATAAATATACTATAAAGGAGCCCAAAGCCCTCTTCTAATTTTTAAGGCCCCTACAGTAGCAAGTGGCCGGCAGTCCGGGGCTTAGTAAAGTTGTAAAGCAGTACTTGTCCACTACATGTTGGCTTATTGCTCCTAGAGCTAAAGCCGAACATCTGAAGCTTTATGTGAACCTCTAAACCCTATACCCGTAACGCTACGCCCTAAACCCTAAACCCTGAAGCCTAACATAGGCCCGAAGCTCCGAAACCCGACCTCCCACAGGTGCAGCCAGCGCATGATAAATGGAAGCAGCTGCGAAGGGATGCGAGAGCCGTGGGCATTGGCTGTGGCCAAGGCGCCATCGTCGGGTCTGGGGGTTGGAGGCTTGCCTAGACACTTAGGTGATCTAGCTATACAGGGCCCCAAACGCCCTAAACTCCAAACCCTGGTTGAAGTCTTTTGCATTGCATTCCTTACCCAAAACAGCCGAAACCAGACGTTGAATCCTGAACCCTAATCCCTGCAGTTTTCTTGCTGGGCCATGCAGGCTTGAATGTTCGAGTACTTCGCAGTGTTTCCATGCCCATAACATACGACGATATGCCCCGACCTTCTCAAGTTAAACAAAATATCACACGATATCATAGAGTATAGCATAAGACAGTATTTGATATAGTGGAATATAATGTAGTGTAAGTTGTAAAAAATTTTAACATGATCATTGTCATTGAGTGTCTTGAGAGGCCACGTAGTCAAGAGTATGAGCCAATGAGGGTCAGGTCTATCCGTCTTCAAGGGCTGGCGAGCAAGCACCGTCGACTTGCCCTGAGAGGACAACCTCGACCGGAAGGATGTGATCAGCTTCAGTTTGGCCATCAGCACATGTGAGCGTCGGGGAGACCTGTTTGGCCAGCAGAGGTGTTTTGTTCGGCCTCTTCTTATTTGTTTTGATCTGTGGACCGGAACATTCCAAGTCTGAACCGTATCGTCATATTGTCGTTATAAACCAATTATGAGCAGCCTCGAGTATTGTGACTACCTGTGGTCACTCTCTGAGACATTCTGAAACAACAACACCCTAAACCCCAACCCCCCTTATGACTCATAACTGCGACTATTATCCGAGCCTTGCCCTAAAGACTAAACCCTAAAACCCTAAACCCTAAAACCCTAAACCCTAAAACCCCAAACCCTAAAACACTAAACCCCAAAACCCTAAACCCCAAAAAACCCTAAAACCCAAAACCCCCCAAAGCCCTAAAACCCTAAACCCTAAAACCCCAAAAAACCACCAAAAAACCCTAAGACAGCAGCAAGGAAGCTGGCAGCGGGCAGTGGAACTCCTTGCTGGGATGCCACCAGCAGACGTCCGGCCCGACACCGTGGTGGCACTTAGGGACTTTGGGTTTGGGGTTTTTGGGGTTTAGGGTTTGGGGTTTAGGGTCTCGAGTTTAGGGTTTAGGGTTTAGAGTTGAGTCATGTTTTGTGTGTGCCGAAAGATTGAAGCTTACTCTCAAACCTAAACAGCTGGCGAGATGTGAAGAATAACCGCAGTGTAAGCACACCGGCTGAAGTAGCTCGCAGCTTACGAGTACTGCAAATACAGGAGGCTAGGATGACCCCCGGATATCGGCGGAACCTGGAGAACTGCATAGCAAAGGCTAAAGCCTAGCATACGAAGACAGCAGTGCAGAATGACGACAGGCGATGGAAGGAGAGGGATATGCTGCAGCAGTGCCTTTCTCGCCAAAGCAGAGAGGTTGCATACAAGTAGATTTAGATGACTTTTGTACAAGTATGACTCGAGGGGGGAAAAGAGCATACGCCTTGGGAGTAAAGATCCAAATTTCTCAGCTAGCAGTGCAGCTGGTCAAAAAGCCAAGCCAAAGTGTACCTAAACTCGAAGCTCCAAACGCCCCACATGTAATCCCTAAATATGGGGATTTGGGGTTTAGGGTTCAGTCCTGATATCAACAAAACCAGGAAAACATCGAGTTGTTGTTGCTATGAAAATCCAGGCATTAAAATCCTTGAGCCCGGTGCTCTTGACTTGAAAAGCATCTAAATCCTTCAACCCTTCAGCCTTAAACTTAGAAAGGCACCGACATCCGTATAATATAAGGGGCCTTAATAAATAGAATAGTGTTTTGGGGCCCATTATACTATAAATAGAATAAGGAAACCCCGAAATAGTATTGGTCATTACTAGTCATTACTTAGGCCCCCACATTACAAAGCAAGCACGTGTAAACCGAGGACGTCATCAGTTTCAACTCCACCACGAGCGCCTGTGGCAAGGGCAGGCAGTGGCAGATCTCTGTGGGTCTACAGGCAGGGTCTCCGCACCCTCAAGAAACTCTTCAAGGAACCCTCAAAGGAACCGCTGAAGGAACCCTAAACCCTAAACCCCAGAGCAAACCTTAAGATGGGGTCTGTGCTAGGAAACTTCTCAAGCTACCATTACAGGCTTGATAATGGGGGTATTATTATAAATAGCATGGCATCCTTGTTGTGGTAACTTAAACTAAGTTCCACTCCGCCCTAAGAAAAGGCCAGTTGAACCCGAGGCGCTAAATTGAAACCTAAACCCGAACCCTAAACCCTAAACCCTAAACCCTAAACCCTAAACCCTAAACCCTAAACCCTAAACCCTAAACCCTAAGCCCTAAGCCCTAAGACCCAGAAAGAGCGTGAAGCTCCTTAGGCCGACATGAGGAGGACCAAGCTCGCTGTCGACGTGATCGGCTTCAACACTTGCACCATGACCGCCCACTTTGGGTTCAGGGATAGGGTTTAGGGTTTAGG